AAAAAATAAAATAGTTTAATTAATTCAATATAAAAAATAAAAAAATTATTTAGTTTCGGTTCTTCTTCGATTCTACGGTTCTTGGGTTAGACTCGAGACCCAACCCAAACCCATCGGTTCTCGATTCGGGTATTTAATTTATAAAAAACCGTTCGATTCGGTTCAGGTTCGGTTCGGTTTGATTCGATTCGAAACATTTGGACACCCCTAGTAGAGACTAGAGAGAGACTTTATCAAGCAAATTACCAAAATTTCATCCCAACTTTCTCTCCAATAATTTATTTGTTTTTACATTTTATACTACATTTCTATTTGGCAATGATTAAAATCAGAATATTCGTAAATTTTGATAAAAATTGATAAAATGCGCAGTTTAAATTTTGCGAATCTCATAAAATTTGTCATTAAAATTAGTTATTGATTTTAACCTAAACTACAAATTTTTAATTTCTACAAATGTGGGATATATTTTCACGGAGCAGACGGTTACAAGAATCGGACAGTCCCACCACCGTCAGCCGTAAACCGTGAACCGGCCCTTTGCGATTATGGGCCGCTCATCGGTCCGGTCTTTTCAAAGGCGTGCCTAGTCGGACCGTAGTCCAAATTGTCAAACAAAAATTGTTTATTCGCTCTTTTCAGCTTCTGCAAGCGTAATTTGTTGTGATTTTCCAATTGTCCGTTCTATTCTCTCTTTGAATCTTAATTTCGAAGTGACATTGATGGATTCTAAAGGAGAAGGAACAGAGGCGCAAAAATTTGTATGGGAAGGAGCTATACCTGTCCAGATTCATCTCCACGACTCTGAAGTTACCACCCTTCCCAATCCTCCTCCTGCTTTGGTAATCAATTTTTCATTTTTGTTCCTTTTATTTTGCGTGTATAAATGACTATTTGAGGATTAACTGGGTTGAGTGTAATTATTATTCTAATTTGACTGGTTTATCAGTGATTTTCTTATGGTTTCAGATCTTGGCACCTCGTTTAGGGTACCTGCCTCTGTTAGTACCACAGATTAGGCCATTTTTCAGTAATTCGCTTCCTCCAGGTGTTGACACTGTTTGGTTTGAGTACAAAGGGCTACCTCTTAAATGGTATTATTATTATCGCAGTTTGACTTGAATAATGCTCTAATATACATGTTTAACTAGTCAAAATTGTAACTTTAGTTGACATTGTTTGAATATGCTCTATTTTCTACACCAAGTTGAATGATTTGGAATGCCGCTTTTATAACATGATGAAGTACATCACGAGGTGAATTTTGTTTTCAATTGAAAGAATGAAACCTAAAACTATGCTTTATTTTTTTAGAGAATGAAACGAATTCTACCTGATGAATGAGAAAATATAAAAATGGGAGAAACACGAGATGATCAGAATGAGAGATATCATTCCAATCTAAGCTCATTATCTTAATTTTTTTCCACGAAATTTGGAACGCTGGCTACAGATTGTTACCAAATTATTGTCGCTTTCTGAAAATGATACTCCCTTGTCTTCTATTGCTTTTAATTTAGGAGATTTATTGGCTTCATTGAGATTCACATCTTTTTAGTCACATTATATTTTGATTTTCGAAATACCATCATTCTAAAATGGTACTTGTGAACTTTATTTTTTATTTTGTGAAATTTACACTTCCTCAGTGCAATAAGTTTACCGTTTCTTCTGATATTTTCTATGTATATTCCCATTCATTGCAGGTATATACCTACTGGGGTACTTTTTGATCTTCTTTGTGCAGAGGCAGAGAGGCCTTGGAATCTAACGGTATAAAGTTTAATTTCGATTTACAGTGGATACTCTATGATGCTGTTATTTGTAAAGCCTTTATTGGAATTTTGCCATATCAATTTTAGGCATGAAATTGTCAGATTGTGAATTTATTGTTGGACTAAGAAGTGAGTTGTTAATAATCTAGTAGCTTCAAGAAGTATTATATTAAAACTTGGCAAACAAAACATCAGTGTATATTTAGAGAATTGAATCAATATCTTTAAGAGTATTTCTTCCTTTGGGATGGAGAAACTGCTCAAACATGATTTATGTACATTACTCTCCTTGTTGAACACAACATCAGTGTATATTTAGAGAATTAAATCAATATCTTTAAGAGATTTTCCTTCTTTGGAATGGAGAAATTGCAAAAACATGATTTATGTACATTACTCTCCTTGTCCAAAATAATTGAGCTAAAACTTTCTAATTGCGTTTAACAACAAATGGATTCATGCATTTGCTTTAATAATGAGAACAGAAAATGCTATATCTAATTGACATGAAAGTCATAGGTCCCTGCCAATGTATAAGCAACTAGATAGTATGCATACGAGCTATACATTTGTTGTTAAAATAATTTAGTTTTTCTCTTTGCCTATCATTGAAGTAGCTTTACAGCCTGTAATGACATTGAAATCCCTTGTGGTTGATGAAATAGTTATGCCATGTTCAATTTTCTCTGCAGGTACATTTTAGAGGATATCCAGGAAAATTTTTGACTCCTTGTGAGGGTGAAGACAGTGTTAAATGGAGCTTTATCAATGCATTGAAAGAGGTTAGGTATAAGTATTTCTGTTTAGTTTCGTAATTTAGATATTATTGGGGAAGTTTGTAGAGTTGCTTTATCGTTTTCATCGACTTGATGCTTATTGATGAAGCCGTACTTCTCTCATATATTAACAATATACATTATCCTTTTCCATCCCCATTTTCTAGATACCAATTAATGCTATGATTGTGAGTTTGTCGGTTGATGAAGGAACAATCCAATAATTCTTTGGGTGGGGAAAAGTGGATATTATCATTTTGTGATTCACATTTACACGTTGGCTTAGTTTTTACATTTCTACGAAGGATTGGCATTACCAAAGTGGTTACTTTCTCAATGACCATTTGGAATTATACCATTACATCCAAGAATGATACTTTTGAGTTTATAATATTTAAATTATCATGAACAAAAAAACGAAAACAGGATCGAATGCGTGGGTTATTTATAATAATGTTCCAGAAGTACATTAACACTATGTGCATGTTTGGGAAGGGAATAAATTAAATTTTAAATAATTATTAGTTGTGAGTTCTATGAAATGTGTTGATAAAAGTTTGTTTGACCAGAAGTGATTAAATTGTAATCACTTTCCAAACATGCTTTATAGCTTTGAAGATTATAATTTATTAGTGTGTTAATGATTGCCAATCTTGAAAATCTAATTGCTGCTACCAAGTTTGACGTTTTATCCTCCAAAATCTGCAATTGCATACACATTCAATGAATGGGGTTTGATAATATCAATTTTCTTATGTGCTGTGGATTTCTGTTAATTGTTCATTCTGAATTATTTTGGCAAAATAGTGGATACCTATCTTATTTGTTATGAAATTTTAATTACTCTCTCAAGCACAAAAATATATTGGAAATTTGGAATATAGAACAATGAGCAACGGGCCGAAACTACAAGGACAACTAAATTTAGAAAGTCTAATCTAATCCAAGTAAATTATTATTCCGACCTATTAAGTAAAATTAAATTTGTTTGAAATAATTAAACTTTGAACAAATTAAATTGTATATCAAGTGATGGAAATTACCAAGATTTCATCATCTACCACCATTGTTCTAAAAGGCGCCAAAACTCGCCGCCTAGGCGCGACGCGCGAGCCAA